TTGATTATGGTTCATGTCTATGTCACATGTGGCGAATAGATATCATACTCCAATAAGGGATGAAGCTTTCTTGTTGACGAAGGCAAAGGAGGTAGGTTACTTGCTTTGGAATCTACAACTACTCTTAAGGAGCTAAAAGCTATGGTTTTAGAGGATTACGAAATCGAGCAAAATGATACGATCGAGTGCAGTTATTTACTTGATCAACAACTTAGGATCTCCTCCCGTTCTCTTATCCAATGATCGTCAAGTGAAAAATTTTGTTCGGTACGTAAGGAAGAAATCGTCGATACATTTGTGTTTCACTTTTAAACTTATATTTGACTTTGATTTGAATAAAGAGCCCACGAAATCAGAAGAAGTAGAAGCTGTTATGGTCGAAAACACAAAAGGAGTTACCTACATAATTACGACAATGGTTTACAAACATATGTTTACATTAACAACGAGTTAAACACAAAAAGAGTTACATACATAAGTATGGCAATGGTTTACAAACTTATGCACTAACATGTGAACATATGACATTGTTTTTAACCGGTTACAACATTATAAATAGGTACACAACAATTACAGATTGATACAAAACAAATTTGAACAAGAGTTAGAGTTTATTTTTGTTGATTACCTTTCGTAGTTTCTTTGGATGGTTGTCCACGTTGGCAGTTGAGGTAGATGGTTGTCCACTGCTTCTTGCTACTATAGCTTTATTGACTGCATCCTTCAGACTCGTAATCTCACTTTCCATATTGGCAAATCAGTCACCAATTTCCTTCTCAATCTTCTTCTCAAACTTCGTCTCCGTTGAACTGAATGAAGATTCAAACAAACCAGTAATAAAAGACTTCAAGACTTCATTAAGAGCTACACTTTTTCCCGCAGAGCGTTGGCACAACAATTTCTGCTTCCGTTCCTCTACACCATGATCACACAATTTCTTCTTAGTCCTCCTCAAAGTGGAGGCATAACTGTCGTCTCCCTTAGACCTCACTTTTCACCAAACTGTACACACAAGTTAATTCAAAATGTATTCATTGCAAGGTTTAACAATAAATTAAGAATCAATCTAAACCCTCATGAGCTCAAGAAAAAATGTTTCCTTTCAAATGTGATGAACATATGTAGCTCAAGTCGTGACGAAATGAAGATAATCAAGCAAACGATGAACACCTTAAAAGAGAAATCCAGACCCTAAAGATAGAAACCA